CTTTGACTGGAAACGATGCTGGTGATTCGCATGTGGCCATCTATTCTTTTAGATCTGATCTTCAGTTACAATACCACCAGCCTAACCTGGTGGCCAGACTGTTCTTAACACTACTGAAGCAGGGAAGAGGCAATACAACACTCACAGCTGACCAAAGGTGTATTTATTAACGATTATATGGTTCGAGTGTAGAGATACACAATCACATAACAACGGCACCACTGAGCCTTTGTATCTTGAAAGTCAATTTGTCCAGCATATGTCTCATTCCATTAGAGATAAACAAATTGATCTTTGAAGGTGAAACGGCTGAGGCTCAATCGCTTTGACGAACTTCTTCAATCCTCTGTAGTACTTTTGTTAAACCAAAGTTTTTGGAGGGATCTGTTAGTGGTAACAACGGCATAAGTGAAGTAGACATTTAAAGAATTAACGAACAAATTCAGTGGGAAGTGTTTGTGACAGCTCACAAAAATTGGATTTTATTTGTAGAGGCAAACATAGAGGAGAGCGCCCAGGAATTCTTCCCATGTAAGACACAATAACATTAAGCAGTTCATTTAGTGTGCCTTGTGAATATCCTTCATTCCTCGACAGAGTACCAAAAAGGACAAATAACACGAGTCACAAATTCCCACACTTTACTAAGTAAGTATGAACCCAGATTAACCCATTTTATCATGAATGAGACGATTTCATAGTACATCAGATGCGTTAGGTAAATTTGAGATTAGCAGTGTAACAGTTCACCTGTAAACCATGGGTTTGAAAAGAAGATGTAAATCGAAATGAAATAGATTTGATAATAAAATTTGCAAAGAAAACGAGGCTTCGCATCTAGAATTTTTGAGACTTGCTGTTCAGAATAAACAAAATATGAACATACGTGAGCGTAATAACAACATACCACAAAGCCTGATGCACATAATAAATCCATAAAAAATAAATATTAGAGCTTTGGAGGCGGTTTGTGACATTATGATAATCACTCACTGCCTCATTGTGCTAGTGGTTGTCGTTTGGGTGACCAGACCGGAGTAGATTACTGACTCCCCAGCACTTCTGTGCCATATCTTCGCATTTCTTTTGCTATCTGCACAGACTACCCAGTCGCGTACATTGTACGTACACTGCCCATGTTCACACCACTGTTGGAATTGTTTTATTCCAACTAAATTTGAATAAGCATGAGAAATTCTATAAGAGGGAAGAAGAAACAAGGTAATGTAACTTTTTGTTGTTGTATTTAATCGTATTATTCATTGTTTTGTTTCCCTCATTAAATGGGGATCCCCCTTCATTATCCCTGTTGTCAGCTTGTCTGCTCCTGTGGGGCTCGTTGCACCCGGAGTACAACCAAGGATATTCACCCTCAGATCTCCAAACATCATCCTACCTGGTTAAGCAAAGGATTAAACAGGTTCCATTCGTTTTACATAGATACTGAGATGGGAGTTGATGCTAGCGAGGAATTTAAAGTTACATATTGTGCTTCAAGTAATATTGCTGTGACCAGAGTAAATTTCTTGCCACAGTTTTGTTTCACCTTACTGTCTGATGACTTCGTTTATTACTTCATAAATACAGACTCAAAGATACGACACAACGAATTCATCATTAACCTAGGTAGACGGATACTAACAATACAATCATATCAATTAAGTGTATCGCCTAATCTTATGAAGCAGGTGTTTACTTGCTTTCACTTTATCCTCGCAATACTGATGTGGTCAAATAGCTTACTCCAAATGAACGCATGGTTAATTCTGAAAGTGAATGGAGACCCAGCGTGTTTCGACCAAAAACATGAAGCCCAAATGTATTACACTGCCTACTATGACTTTTGATGCCGGCTTTCCGATCTTCGTGACAAGAATACAATATATGTAAGTACTTATATGCTGCATCAACCATCCCGTTTTCATCATGATTGACCAAACTGCTGTGTATTTTACACTAATTTAAAAATCTTTGGAAATAATAGACAGGCAATAATTGAAGTTGCATAAAGTTATCACCTCTTCGGAAAGTTGGGTGCATTCTTGACACTCCTACCAAGTCCTTGGATCTCAACTTGGATCAACTCAAAACTCTCCTCTTGGACAGCAGTAAGTAGCGGAGTACCACAAGGCACGGTACTCTTTCCTCTCCTATTTATTCTGTATATCAATGAGTTACCTCTGCTCACCGACTCCCCTATGGTCCTATGAGCAGATGACTTAAAAATTTGGAGAGAGCTGAAGGGCAACAGTGATACGTTCACGTTGCAAGAGGACCTCAACAAATTGTCAGAGTGGTCCGTTGAATGGATGCTTCCGATCAATGTGGCAAAATGTGCAACCATGCGCATTGGACAATCAAGAGCAAGCTCCTACGAATTAGGGGGAATAACACTTCCATCAGTTCAGACTCACTTGGACTAAGGTGTCATAGTTAGCCACGACTTAAAAACTACAGCACAGTGTCGCGCGGTGGCTGCACGTAGCTTCACGTCCTTGTGGGCGATTCGCAGAGCCTTTACAAGAATTACCAGAGATATGTTCACCTCCTTATATACATCCCTGGCTAGGTCAAGACTGGAAAACTGTATCCAGGCCGCCAGTCCTTGTCTAAAAAGGGATTCACACATTCTAGAAAGTGTTCAAAGGAAGGCAACACGTATGGTTCACGGCATAGCTAACTTATTATACGAGGACAGACCAGACAGTTTAAATCTCTTCTCACTGTCATACCATAGGCAGAGGGGAGATTTAATCACAATGTTTAAAATTTTAAATAATGACTACGGACCAGACCTATTCTCTCTTTTCCTTCCCACCAGCTTGGAACACCTTAGAGGACATAGCAGGAAAGTTCAAAAGCCAAGGAGAAATCACATTGCTGTTGAGTACTGGTTCTCACATCCAATATCCAATATCGTTTTTACGAGCTAGTATAAACCAATTTGATTTCTTTGTGCTCGCTTCTTGATTGTAAGGTATAGGTTCCTGATCTTCGGTAAACTTCTGAGTAGCTTGTCCCGCCACTCGACTGTCGTAGCTTTGGTTGACTCCAAAGGGAGTAGTGCTGGGATTAATTATATGTGTTTTGTAGTATGAGGTATGTTAAGACTGTTACTACTGTGATTGGAGTTGATCCTTTCGCCAGTTAGTCCTTCGGTATCGTCGACAAGAGAAAAGAGATAGTAATAATAATAATAATAGATATAATTAGTGAAGCTATTCAGACTAAGAGACAGAAACGGAAATAGGAAACGTAACAACAGTCAGCTCATTAAGTTTGAATAATAATAATAATAATATATACATACATATATCGGTAATAATAATAATAAAAGTAATAGTAATTATAATGTTAACAAGTTGTCAGGAGAGTAAGACGGGAGAGAATGTAAAGAAGTAAAACGATGAGTTTAATTGTCTACCCTGATTGGTGTATGCGATTTTAAGGGGATAGGCCATTTGGATGCAGTCCTTGTGTCGCTGCATGGTTGTCCAGCCTTCGCTTAAAGGCGTCCAAAGACGGTGCCATAGCCTGTAAGGAATTCCAGGGACGGCAAACCCGCAGTGAAAAAAAGTGGGAGCGCACCCGGGTCCTTGCCCTCTGGTGAGCTATCCTTCTGGGATTTCCACGTGGGAGCCTATACCTACTCAATGGCAGAACACCTTTGTTTGGGTGATTCTGGTCATTTGTTATTTTGTAGGCAGTAATCAAATCCCCCCTAAGCCGACGGTAACTAAGTGTGAACAGGCCTAATTTCTTCAGCCTTTCATCATATGGTTTGTTTCGGAGACCAACCACTCCTTTTGTTGCCCGTCGTTGGACTCTTTCCAAGAGGTTGGCGTCTCTTCTCAGCATTGGGGGTGCAATAATATTATGCACCTCAAGGTGTGGCCTGACGTATGTTTTGTACAACATTAGAAAGAGCTCAGGAGTGAGTGCACCTAACTGTCTATGCGTAAAGTGTATGACAGCATATGCCTTCGCTACATCCCCTGTGTAATTTACGCTTGTGTCCATTTTTTCCGTTAGAACTAGACCTAAGTCGCGTTCCGACGTTGTGCAGGACAAGCTTTCATTGCACAGGGTGTAACTTGCATTCTGCAGTCTACAGGTGCGCAACTTCACTACTTTGCACTTTTTCAAGTTGAAAGTCATGCCACTGGCCACCGCCCAGTCTTCCAGAAGGTTTAGGTCTTCCTGTAGCCTATCTGAGTCCTCGAGTTATAAACTCTTGGAACCGACTCCCAGAAGAAGTGGTGTCTGCAACCTCAACTGATTCGTTCAAGAAGGGTTTGGACAACCACAGAAATCTACTAGAAAAGGATTAACATAGGCTCCAAGCCTTCTATCCTCAACCAACAAATCTGAATCTCGGTATACCGAGATTGAATTAGGCTGAAAAATTGCCACTATGTGCTGAATTTAATCTTTTCGTTCTAAAGTAGTGCTAGTCAGTGCTGAAAATGTTCTGAAAGGGCTGAGATAAAGCTGATAAGCAAACCCGGTAGGTTCTGATCTACTCCTAACTATGCTTAAAAGAAGAACACGGTTCTGAATTAGCGCTAGTTATGCTGAAAATTAGCACTGAAATCTAGTCGGTGCCATTAAACAAACGATTTCAGAACAAATTCAGAATTTACTCACTATAGGATGCTAGAATTATTTCAGAATTACTGAGATTTAATTCAGAAATATAACAAGCTTGGGATATCCAATATCCTGATTACGAGCTAGTATAAACCAGTGATTTCTTTGAGCTCGCTTCTTGATTGTGAGGTAGAGGTTCCAGAAGATATGACATGAATTCATTGAATTCAACTAGTAAATCAACTGGTATACCATTTCTCTCCTGAGCTGTAAAAGTATGTGTTGTCATTTATGCACTCGTCTTGATAAAACGCTCCTGGAAATTGCGAACTTCTCCAAGCGGAGTGAGGATATACGTTTTCGCGTCTTAAACTATGTTTCAAATTACCGCAACTCTGATGACTAACTGCCAATCACAAACAAGCACACGGCCGTCGACAGGCTACCTTGAATCCGAAGCGCCTTACTTAACGTTTTACGGAACAGCATGACCGTGTCGTAAGTTTCTTTGTTTCTGTCGTAGGTAACTGTTATTGTTATTTATCTATGTGGACTTTGAAGTTTGTCTTCCACTCCGTTTAATAGCCGTAAAATACTCACTATTTAAGAATAGCTACTATGCCTCCAACGCAATTGCTAAGGCATATTTAATGTTCCATAGGATTCTTAACATTTTTCTCTACATTGTGAATTAATTTTCATGATATATGGAACCTAAATCGCGTGCAACTGGGTCAATGTATTGGAATCATATTGTGCCAAAATCTGAATAGTTTCTTGTTGTTGGCCAACAACAAGAAACTATTCAGATTTTGGCCACCGGTAGCACCAGAAAATTGCTAGGCTAGCTGTCTTTGATTATAGGTGCCTGAGTTCTACTTCTCATGTTAGCTGGCATATTAGTGTGGGCAATATTAAGGTAAGAAATCTGTCGAGTGCTAGGTAAGGAGGGAAAATCAATCGACGAGGTTGTTAAGTTACACCGATTGAGATGGTTAGGATATGTGTTACTCATGTCGCCTAGCCATCCATCTCCTTCCTCGATAGACAATGTTAACTGACATAAGATGCATCAGGTTGGAGAAGAGCTAGTGACGGTCAAAGAAAACATGGCCTCATCAGTCACCGAAATCTTCATTAGTCAGGTTGACCCAGCCACGTAGGGAAATGTAGACTGCCTGACTGTTTGGTGTCCTCGGGATAGTAAGAACCAATGAAGACTGGAAACGATTGGTGATGTGGCTCGAAACCGTCGTTGTCAATGGCGCAAGTGCATATCTAATATAAATATTGTTCTTCCATATTACTATTCCTTTTGCTTCATATTTCTGTTTATCTCTCTCTTCCTTGAATCTATTTACTCTCTTCCCTTTCTTTGTGTGTTACACAGAGTGTAGCAACTCGCACTGCCGCATATCTATGCAAAGTTCTACATTGAAATCACTCAGTCACTATGGCTATCGCTCGGAGTGTCCCCGATTACATAACTAAGGCCTTATTCAAAATTTTGGGAAATTTACAGCAGTCCGCTGAAATGTAGGTCCTTATAAGGTTGCGAAATGTTTCAGGGGCGTTAAGTTATCATCTATCATTATTCTAAAACACCACTTATGGAGTACGAAGTCTCGGTGTGCGCGTTTCCAATGCCTGACTTCCTGGAGAGGTATATTTGGAGAGCTAGCACTGAAAATGTGGCAGTTGAATATTAGTACATTTTATATACATACGTTGTGTCTATAAGTGTGTTTATAAATTGTTCTTTGAAGGATGGAAAGGCTACTAATTCTCGTAGGCAGTATAATAACATGTTACAGATATTACAGTAAACGTGTGTTTTAGCAATCTGTACATGTAAGCCATTTAATTTAGCACGGCACCCAGGTATCAGTGATTATTCTTTGAAAGCCGTAATTTCAATATCAACGAAGGTTTTGGGTTTCTAGGACTGATATACCTTTGTTACATGCATCGTTATAAAATATTGCGGGAGGAGTACTATTATCTCAATTTGTCACATAATTTACCAGGAAAATAAAACACTTCAAAACATTGGTTATCTAATGTGGTTCATCGGTGCAGTTTCGAAATAGTTTCTAATATGATTTACAAGGAGATGCGGGAGTTTTTGTATATATCACATGCTAAATACTACGATGGGGCAACTTCTTAGAATTATGAAGTCTGTAAAATGGGACCGTTGTTTTGTTCTTTGTCCTACTGTATTTCGTGTCTGAACATTTAATAGCTGTTATTAGCAAAGTTACAATATATGACTGACATAGAAGAATTTCATACATTTGGTTCCCTTGATAAATTTTGATAAAGAAAGGAAGACGAAATTTGCAGTATAAAATGATGTCATTCTATTTCACAGGTTCTCATCAGCTGCAGACTACCTGAAATTACAATGGTTATATGGATGATAATAACATACTTTAATGTTTGAGTGGTGGTAGAGAAGAGATACTATAAAATTGACGCATCTAAATGAAAGCATTACAATGTTTTTAGTTTAAGTTTTCATCATCAGATCTTAATCTCACAAACTGTAACCGCTTTTGTTTCTTGAGTTGCTGTGTGAACCTACAAGCTAACACTCTTCTGTTAATCAATTTTTTCTGTTTTCTCTCTTACCCCTTCCCCTCTTTTCAACTTTAAAAGCGTATAAATTGATGATGAAAACTTAAACTAAAAACATTGTAATGCTTTCATTTAGATGCGTCAATTTTATAGTATCTCTTCTCTACCACCACTCAAACATTAAAGTATGTTATTATCATCCATATAACCATTGTAATTTCAGGTAGTCTGCAGCTGATGAGAACCTGTGAAATAGAATGATATCAATTTGTACTGCAAATTTCGTCTTCCTTTCTTTATAGGAGAATTTCTTAGTGAAAATACTGTGTGCAAACGACATTCCTATTGTATTCCATTCTGTCTTCATATATTTGGTATCACCACATCTGGCTCTCAGTTCTTACCTGAAAAGTCACCATCTCGTGATTTTTACTCCCATGAGTTTGACTCTATTTCTAATATTTGCATCCGAGAAGTAGCAACCGCCAACACACTTCCTTAAGCACATGAAGTTCTCCTTGTCACTTACGTCCATTTCGCTTTCCTCTGACTGTTATTGCTATGCATCAAGCAGTTTGTTCAGCTTCTTTTAGCTATATAGCTGCATCTGTTAACGAGCATAAAACACGCTGTCTGTAGTCCCTTTAAAGTTCGTCGGCTTCATAATGGGGTTTCAGCGTCTTCACCCTTTTGAAAGTTGGATAATCAACTTATCTAACCAAATATCTGGCCCGTCAGGCTTTTTAATTGCGTGTTATTTCTCTGGGATACATACAAGTTCGCCTGACGCTATCTTACTAAAATTTTGATTTTAGAAGTGACTCCACGATCGAGTTTCATATGATTCTTTGCCTCTAAAGCACCAATCTCAGCTGACTCTCGGTAGACAGTCGTCTGTGCGCCTTCTAACTGAATGTATTTTCATAAGTAAGGAAGGTTATGATTCTCGTCGATGTTTATTTTCTTCACTTGTGTTCACTGGCTGTGTTTAAGGGAAGTAAAATTTAGTCTGAAGAAGTCTAAAGGCCAAACACGCAGGTAGAATCATGCTAGTAGGTGGTTTTAATGCTTAATCTTATTTGAAAAGCGTTTGAAAAGTATTATACTGTCGGATGAACAGCGATCATCTCTTACAGCGTGGCGTAGTTAGCAGTGTTCTTAGCTAGGTGTGAAAATAAGGTAATGTCTCATCTGGCGATCACTGATATCAACCCTTTGATGAACACGAACAGACCAAAGTTGATCGATGTTAAATTACCTCTTCTAAAGTATCTGCGTGGCTGACTGACCGGTTTCAACGTAGAACTTTGCATACATATGTAGCAGTGCGAGTTGCCACACTCCATGTAACAAAAAGAAAGACAAAAGAGTAAATAGATTCAAGGGAGAGAGAGATAAACAGAAATATGAAGCAAAAGGAATAGTAATACGGAAGAACAACATGTTTATTTGATATGATAGATAACAAAGAGTGAATGCATTTGCGCCATTGGCAACGATGATCTTGAGCCACATCACCAATTGTCTCCAGACTTCATTGGTCCTTACTATCCCGAGGACACCAAGCAGTCAGGTAGTCTAGTGGCTGGATCAAACTGACTAGTAAAGATTTCGTTGGCTGATGAAGCCATGTCACTAGCTCTTTTCCAACTTGGTCCATTCTATGTCAGTTAACATTGTCTATCGAGGAAGGAGATGGATGGCTAGGCGACATGAGTAACACATATCCTAACCATCTCAATCGGTGTAACTTAACAACCTCGTCGATTGATTTTCCCTCCTTACCTAGCACTCGACAGATTTCTTACCTTAATATTGCCCACACTAATATGCCAGCTAACATGAGAGATAGAACGCAGACACCTATGATCAAAGGCAGCTAGCCGGGCTTTTCATGTTCCCCACTCTTAGTGGCTATGTTGCACAGCAGTATGGAAGGACGGAATGAACTTCTACGCAGTGTACACCGGATTTCATATCTATGCCGGAGATAGAGTATGTTGGCGCATGTCAGACGAGCCTTCTGTATTCGTACTGAGATTTCATCAGTCATCAAACCGTTGGGGCTGAATCAACTCTTTAAATAAGTGGAGTGGTCAACATGCTCTACCACTTTACTCCTTATCTCTAAGTCTGGTGTCGTTGTTTTCTGGTCCTGTAGCATCATCTTTTATTTAACAGAGTGGGCGAATCGCGTGCCAAAAATTTGAAGATTGCTGCTCATGGTGTTCAGAAAACTCTGCATTTTGTCAAGAAAATACGTGTAGTAAAAGCGTTCAACGATCTACTCAAACTGTTCTTAATTTCCACGGAGTCTAGAAAATTTTTCCAAATTTCACCATTTCCTACTAATTTTGTCGTAGATGACATTCTGACGGGGGTGCATAAGGCAGTGTAAACCAAACATGTAGAAGATATTGTTCAACTGTGCGGCAATGTACCTGTTATTTAAGTCTCAGTTAACGTTCAGTGTTTTTTGGCATAGTAGGTGTAAAGTAGTGTTGCAAGATTGACAGAAGCCTGTACTCGCATATACCTATGCGAATGAAACATGGAAGAGTTCATGTATCTAGATCGTTGCATTATAGCTAGCAGGTGTAATGAATGAAATTTCAAATCGTATAGCGAAAGCCAATAGCATGTACACAATGGTAGTTTAGTCATTGGAAGGGCTTTGCAACACTTTTGTCTGCTCTACTCCTGTGAAACCTGATGTCTTCGAGGTAGGTATGACCTGCGATTCCTCGTGTTCGGTCACCATTATCTCTGTAAAATTGCTTGTATTTGATGAAATCGTGTAAGTAATTCTGAGTTATGACACCGTGTGTCTTTTTTAACAGCGTGGAAATGACCTGTCAATAACTAGTCCTTTAGAAAAGCCGAATTCTGTGTTTCGGGTATGTTACAATTTTCGTCCCAGCGATTTTCATGTTGCAGATTTTTTGATAATCCTAGTTTCTTTATGAGATAATGTAGATGTGGACAGCCCATGATGAGTCACTTTGGAATAAAGGACAATTGTGTTAGGTTACCATCTTTTATTGTATCATTACTTTGTGGGGATCTGAGAGAACCGTGTGACTTAGTGGAATAAAACCATATGAGATATGGGTCAACATCGAAATTGCTTGTTAACTTCGTACAGTTGCCTTCTACTTGCGATAATAGTGTAAACTTTCTTTTGGTGCGTCGGTGGCACATCGGTTAGGACTCTCGCCGACCATGCAAATGGTCTGGGGTTCAATCCCCTGCCGACGCACACCTAATATCAATGGTTGGCCTGCAAATTTCAGCTACCGATATCGTATGCTAAGAATTCCATACTTGTACCAAAAATGCGGTGTGGAATCAAGCTATAATCAAAAAAATATTCTGTTTCTCTTCCTATTTCATAAAGTGCCTCTTTTGGAGTTCATACTGTTCCCTGTTTACATTAACAAACAATTGTGCTATCCTTGATGCACAAATGTTGACATGCGTGTCGTGTTATAGGTCCCTGTATGTTGTTTATTCATGCAACAGTTGTACGGCAATGCTGCATGCCAATTAATCCACAACGGGAAACTTACGGAATCCTTCGAGGTGAGGACAAGAGTAAGGCAAGGCTACCTACTATCGCCAATGATTCTCCTGATTGCAGTAGATTGGATGATGCGACAGACAACGGGCAATGAGGAAACAGGCATAAAATAGACTCACACAAAAAACTTGGAGGATCTGGACTTCACCGATGATGGTATTTGTCTGATTTCCCATAAACTGGAAGATATGCAAGTGAAAAGCAACAAGTTCTCAGAAGAAGCATCCAGAGAAGATAGGCCTTTAGGTGAACATAGAGAAAACAGAGCTAGGTGATGAAGATTCCTGGCCAACACCAAAAGCAACAACAACAGACAACAATCAGCCAGCATAAATGGGAGGAACCTGAAAGAAAAAACCTCCTTTACCTACCTGACTGGGAAGCATCGTTTCAATTACAGGCGGAACTGACGAGGATATCAAAGCAAGAATCGGAAGAGCCAGACAAGCTTTCATTACTCTCAAGTCTGTGTGGAGGTCAACAGCCCCACTCAGCATCAAAAATAAGATCCGGATTTTCAACTCCAATGTGAAGTCAGTGCCACCTACTATACGGATCAGAGACTTGGCCAGCGCGTCATAAAGAGCATCTCAAACTAACTTCAGACCTTCATTAACAGCTGCCTTCGCTCAGTAGCGCTCAAGATCAGATGGCCAGCCAGAAAAGATCAGCAACAGAGATCTCTGGGAGCGAACCAATCAGGAACCGATGGTGCAACAAATAAGCAGGAAGAAATGGAGGTGGATTGGCTCGCCATACTCTGAGGAAACCATCAAGTGACATCACTAGACAAGCCATTGCTCGAGTGGAACCCGAAAGGGAAGCGGCGAGTTGGTCGTCAGTGCGAGGGTGACTTGGAAGAGATCATGTGAAGAGGAGATGAAAGCATGTTAGCAGACTCGAAGCCAGGTGAAAAAGTTGGCAGAGAACCGAAGGCAATGGAGACGCGCAGCTGAAGCCCATGTTCCTCTAGGAATTAAAGGAAATAATAATAATGTTGTTTGCATTTACTACATTCGTTATAACAAATCCTTTATCTTTTTATTTATTGATACTAAGACTCCCTTGATTGTCTACTGGTTGGTTTTATTTCTATCTCTTTCATTTTCAGTTGGATAGATGAACTAAGTAGTAGTAGTGATCCAGCATCACTTCCTCCTATTGAGGAGAAATTTGATCCTGAACGGAATATTAAAACCACCATTCGATATTTTTATAATGAAGATGGTGATTTAATCAAAGAAACTAAAGAGTATAGGAGAGAGAAGCGTGTCGTTGCTTCTCAAGTTGCAGAAAGAAAAAAGTGGAAAAAATTTGGTGCTTCAAAATCTGATCCACCAGGTGGAAGTATAGCGAATACCTATCCAGCTGATATTGTTACAATGCAAATTGTTCAGTTAAGACAGGTGTGTGTGCGTATATATATATATATATATATATATGCATGTTTATGATTAAGGTCTTCTCTTCATATAATAACGTCAAGTTTTATAGATTTACCCCCCTTTTTTTCATTTTTCTGCAAACCTGACCGTTGAATGAGTTAAACACTTAATTAACACTATCCTTAATAAGAGTCTAATCGTTGTTGATATTTTTCTCAGTTAATGTAACTTCACAGCCTCATCTATTGGTTTCCCCTCTTTACCTAGCACTCGACCGATGCCTAACCTCAATACTGCTCATCTTATTATACCCCTTATCACGGGAGATAGAGCGCAGGCACCTATGGTCAAAGACAGCTATCCGGGCTTTTTATGTCTTCCACTTTCAATGGCCAGGTCTCACAGCCATAAAGGAGGACGGATCGGACTCATGAGCAGTACACCCGCCGGATATCACGTCTACTCCAGAGACGGCGCAAACTGGCAAATGCGAAACGAGCCCCCTGTATTCGTGCTGAGATTTCGTCAGAGATCAACCCGTTGGCACTGTCTGATGGTCAACGTGCTCTACCACTTCACTCCCTATTTATAAACTATGAGGCAGTGTAGTCCAGTCCTGTAACATCATCTTACATTTGGCGGGAGCGCATCGCATGCCAAACATTCGTAGATTGCAGTTCAGGATGTTCAGAAGACTCTGCATTTTGTCAGCGTCTTCACCTAAGAGGGAGGATTATATCATCCCCATATTCTAAGTGACCCTGGTAACAAGTCAATCTCTGAGTCTCTGAAGTGAGTTAAGGTTAAGTCCATTAGTATATCTATGATGAAATTGAGTAGAAATGGGGGCACCGCTAGTTGTCACCACTTCAGATGACAGCTCGCCGTAAGCCCTCACCTGGCTGCATGAGTTCGAGCAGAGTACCTTGATTAGTGCAATGTATTTTCTCGGCATTTTTTTCACAACCAAGCATCGCCAGAGTATCGCTCGGTCGACAGAATTGAATGCCGCCTTTAGGTTAAGAAATATAACGATTGTTGGATCCCGCAAAGAATGTATATGTACCAGAATTTGTCGAAGGGTAAAGATGTGGTCTGAAGCCTGCCTGGTTCTCTCGTGTTTGTGCCTCCTGAACACCACTTAGTCTACGCAATATTATTGAGCCTAGGACTCTAGATACCATATTAGTCAAGCTAATCCCTCTGTGATTATCACAGGAAGACTCATCTCCCTTCTTGTATATGGGGATAATCAGTGACTTACACCAACCCGACGGGATTTCCTCTGTCTCCATTATGCATTTCTTCTACTTTCTTCTCGTGCTTTGTGAGCTAAATAGAGTGTGTGGCGACTTGAACTGCTGCACATCGGTGCAAAGTTCTATGTCGAAAGAAGAAAGACGGACAGAAGTATGTATAAGTAAGATCTGTTTAGTATATGTACTGTGGATTAATAAATATTGTAGTTGACAATTAACAGTAATCAGGTGTGTTACATGTGAATAATCTTAACATTTATTGATTGAATTTACAACTGAATCTGTCAGCATTCTTTATTAAACGGACACAACCAGTCGTTTCCCACTACTGTGTGATCCCTTATTTTGATTTCTTCTTATTTTTTCTTTATATAGCCAGAACAAGAGCAAAAGAGACAAGAAGAATTGAATGTAAAGGTTAAACTCGGAGAGCCAGTGGTTATTTGCAGTTATTGTAAGGGTGGGCATTTTACGCGTACATGTCCATATAAAAATGATATGGAAGCAATGCAGTTGTTGCAAGAACAACTTCGGGCTAAAATTGAACCTGCAGAAGAATCTGTTAAAGAACCAGTAAGTAATAATTAATAATCTGTGTTTATATGAGATCGAAAAAATATCTGTATCGTTCCCTGTAATTATCTTATTTGTGGTAACACTTAGCTAGACGTTACATAAGACCATCGTGTGTAGCCGATTCTAAGCACTTAAAAGGAGAAAAGGTTGAACGTGGGGCTAGTAACCCCTACCCCGGAAAATAAACTCAACTGCTACAAAAACTTCAAATTGCGACAAAAATGTAAAAGATAAACAGTAACGAAGTTTCTTGAGTAGCGGGAACTAATCTCCTCCAAAATACTGACAACAAGATTAAACTGAAACGGTTGGAAATTTACAATCATCCATTGCTACGAGCCTACAACCAACGCAAACCAAAAGAAGAAGGAAGGAGAACACCAGGAGAGAACTGATCATGTGTTGAAAGGCTCTCGCAGAAATGAATGTTAAGGGAGAACTCTTTGCAAATTTTGCGCCGTAAATGGTTTGGTAATTCAAGGCAGTGTGTACAAGTATAAGGATATAAACAAGGCGACTTGGGTTTCAACAAAAGGACGCAACTAAAATTAGACAGGATTCATTTCAATCTTAAGAAAATAGACAGGAACTCAAGTGAACATATAGAAGACAGGTGATGATGATACGCAGCAGTGAACAACAAGCATCAACCACCATCAGCGGGAGGTATTTGACTGAGGTCACTTTTTCACGTACTCCGGTAGTATAATTTCAACTACACGCGGCAGAGATGATGCTGTTAAAGGCAGGCTCGGAAAACCAATCTGTAATCAATGATCACAGTTCATTAAATTTTGTTTATTATACTTGTTGATACTTGTTTTATGACTCATGATTGGACTAACTTTTTAAAAACAAGAGATGTTCCTTTTATGGATAAACCTCTGTTAAGTTAACTTCCGTTAATTTCCCTGAAGAAGTTCGGACGAGATTGCCGAACAAAACGTTGGAATTACTAATTTCAATCTCACCGAGATTTTACAAATAGGATTTTTTTTACAAATGTCTACTTTTCACTCGGCGCCAAAATATTTTAGAACTATTCTGTCAAATCTTGACGACAGTTCATTTGAATTGCGTATTTAAATGAAGAAGATAAAAAAATTGGTATGCAAGAGGTCAGATGAAAAAAAGATGATGATGATGGTGGTGTAATTTTGTGAGTAGAACTCATAAGGTCAAGAAAAATTATCTCTTATGGAAGTCAAACAGAGAAAAAAGACAACACCAAAGCAGGGGGCAGTTGAAAAGATAAGTTAACGAAATTAGAAAACAAAATGTTATTAAGGGATGATTCATCAGAGTAATTGGAGGCCAACGAAAGATTTTCTTTCGTACACATAAGTCATGCTTCTGTCGTTTTTATTGCGATAGCCTCAACAAACCGAAGAAGACTTGAGCTATTTTGTCTGTTTATATTATTTTAAATGATGCCAGCGCGTCTACTTGGTGTCCAGCGTCTCTATCAGGCGTTTGGTAATTGAAGAGCTTAAGCGGCTTGGCCCCTTTTAAATGGAAGCTCCTTGGTACGTGTTGGAAGAATCTGACGTGTAGGTCCTTCTTTCTGTACTTCTGACGTAACTGCTCCTACAGATACATGTGGATTGGTATACACAGTTGGGAGTAACATACGAGGGGTACTTGTTGTTGATCTCCGCACCGACAGACTAGTTTTGCTGTAAGATATTTTATATGCACGGCTGCGCTTAATATTTTATTTATGATTTTCATAGTATCATCGCCTTTAAAGTCGAGTTTCATTGAGAAAACTGGTTTTTTGCTGACCGTAAGCTGGGGAGCATCAGGTCCCGTACGTTCATTCTTTTCATATTTATCAATAAAGCTTTGTGGATAAGCATTTTCTTTCAAGCAATTCTCAAGCAGTATTAGTTCGCTGTCTAATTTGTCAGGTGAACGTATTCTTTTCCCTCTGGAGAGAAACGTTTTCACTAGCGTTCATGTTTGTGGTCTTTGCGACTTATCGATCTATGTAATCAATGTGGAAATCTGCTCCACTTAGCGCATAAGAAACAAAATTCGAATTTTTAAAATTAGTGGGAAATCAGTGCTTCTATATGATTCAGGGACTTCAATCACGGGTCGCCAAAAACCTTTCCGAACAGGCTACTGGACACTGTCATCAACAACTGCCCCTTTGCTAGCTACTGAAGATCAGATGACCAGAAAGGATTAGAGACACACTGAGGAGACCGTCTGGTGATATCACGTAACAGGCCTTCGAGTGAGACCCTAATTGGGCGTCCGAGGGTGAGATGGAGTAGGTCGTGAGGAGGGGAGAGGGAAATGAGTGCTTGCAGGCACTCGTGGAGTCAGCTGAAGAGGGCTGCAGAGAACAGAATGCAATGGGATATGCTGATGTGTCCCAGTTCGAACCCAAGGGAATAGTAATAATATAATAATCTTTTGATGAAAGTTTTCTACATTGCCCTAAGTTATGCAACAGGGATTCATTACCATTAAGGGCTAATCGGATTAGAACTAAAACATGTGGATTATTAAATCATAATAGCAATCATGCCAAAATCATGCAGGTGCTTATATAAATTTGGGTGGTTAATAATGTCAGTTATGCAAATAAGCAGGAAATTAACATAGTAAATAACGTCACCATATTTTAAGTAATATAAGGCTGATCTCTTGAATTCATGCTAAGACTTCATAAATAGGATTTCATCATGAGCTGACATCGGTTAGAGAACCATTGGAAAACCAGGGAGTACTGGACAGTTGTTTCGTCCTAGTTCGGGACTCTCCATCAGTACGAATCCATCACAGGGGTTCGAACCCAGAACCTTCTGGCTACAAGGTGAGCTTGTAGACCACTAAGCCACTGGTACCCGACCCAATGGCCCATGAATTCTAACTTCTACCAATTCACGACATAGCGCTACCAATAGCCAATGTCCTCTGCAAGTATTTGTCCTCACACCCGACCTGCTGCACCCTACTGGTCACGACTTCTCACTAGAAGAGTCCCAAAATAGGATGAAACAGCTGTTCACTACTCCCTGCAGGTTTTCTAATGGTTCTCTAACCAATGTCAGCTCATGACGAAATCCTGTAACCAATCAAATCCCTACAAACCAACACTTGAACTTCATAAACAATCGGCTAATCTCTAGTTAGACCTTCTTAATGACTGTGGTTTTCAGACAACTTTTTGTGAGCAGAAAATATGCGTTCGACACGGGTTTGCTGAGTCGCAGATGTTTCGAATCATTCCCCCCCCCCATCAGTCATTCCGTTTCTTCACCTGAAGTCTGTACCAAAATTCACCGTTAAAGTGAAGGCATTTCACGCCTACATCCATTATTCCAGTCAGCATCAGGGTCGTCAATGTTTTTTGACCGCATTCTTAGAAAGCCTTACTGTGTATGATAATGCAGAGAGACTACATGGGAAGCGACCAGTGTGTTTTTCTTGCTACCTAATTGGAAACCTTCCAAATATGCTTTTCTGCGTATGTTATCATTTCGCCCTGATAGCTTATCATTGGACTTTTCTAACTTTGGGAGTACAATCTCATTTTCAGATATATATATATATATATATATATATATATATATATATATATATATATGGATTGTTTATTACATGCATAAATCCATTAATAAATTATTGAGTTTTTTTTTCGTTTTTTTTTGTCTTTTATAGCAAATCGATCGACCTGGACGTTACATCCCACCATCTCTACGTGGTGATGCAGCTGCAACAGGCACTAGTATGTCTTCAGAAAAGCGTCCATTCGATGGAAATACAGTACGTGTGACTAATCTACCTCCGGATACAACTACAGATGATCTTAAGGCGTTGTTCAGTTCATTTGGTCATGTGATGCGTATCTATCCTGCTAAGGATAAATTAACTCAACAAAATAGGGTAAATTATTTTTTACTGTTTTAAATGATTATTATTGTCTTTTATTAGGCATGAAAGTTGAGAACAAACACCATTTATTGATTGTCTGTCTGTCTGGATTCAACATAGAACTTGGCACCGAAGTGCACCAGTTCGAGTTGCCACGTTCCAAATAGCACACAAAGGTAGACAAGAAGATGAGTCAAGAGAATCAATACAGTCTGACAAGTATAAGAATGAAACAGAATGGGTAATGGTAGAAAGGAATATGAAAGATTACAGAGACTGAATACATCTGCGCTGGCCATTGACAACGATTTTGAGCCATGTCACCTATTGTCTCCAGCCATTGATTCCTAGAGTCCCGAGGGCCCCAACCCGGAAGTCTGCATCTCCCTACCTGACTCAGTTTAACTGTCAAGGATTTCATGGATTGATGCCATGTTTTTGTTTGGCCACCACTGGCTCTTTTCCAACCTGCACCTATATCAGCTAGTAATGCCCGTCGGGGGGGGCGATGGTTAGGCATGCGCAGCACGTGACCTAGCCATCTTAGTCTATGTAACTTTATAGCCTCGTCGATTGATTTTCCCTCTTTACCCAACACTTTACGCCTAACGTCAACATTACTTACCTTATTAAACCACCTAACGTGAGACAGGGATCGCAGACATCTATGATCGAAAGCAGTCAACCTTTTCATGTCTTCAACTCATATTGGCCATGTTTCAGAGCCATAGAGAAGGACGGAGCGAACTGCTGAGCAGTACACACGTCCCTTGGTTGATGGCCGGATGTCACGCCTACGCCAGAGATGGTGTAAGTCAGCGAAAGCAGCTCGAGCTTTTTGAATCCGTGCTGAGACTTCATCGCCAATCAGTCCGTTGGTGCTAATACAACTTTCCAAATAGGTGAAGTGGTCAACATGTTCTATCACTTCACTCCCTATCACTAAGTTAGGGGTTGACGTCGTCCAGTCCTGTAGCAGCATCTTGCATTTTGCAGGGGCGAATCGCATGCCAAACATACGGAGATTGCTGCTCAAGGTGTTCAGAAGACTCTGCATTTTGTCAGCATCCTCCCCTAACAGGACTATGTCATCTGCATATTCTAAGTTCATAAGACTATTCCCTGGTAACAAGTCGATTCCTAAGTCGTTACGTTCAGTTAAGGATACTTCCACCAGGATATCTATGATGAAGTTAAACAGAAATGGGGAAAGTGGACATCCCTGTCTAACACCACTGGTTGTTACCAATTCAGATGACAATTCCCCATAAGCCCTTACACAACTATATGAGTTTGAATAGAGTGCCTTGATTAGCGCAATGTACTTTCTTGGCACTCCCTTCACAGTCAGACATTGCCATAGTACCTTTCGATCCACGGAGTTGAAGGCCGCCTTCAAGTCAAGAAATATGACAATTGTTGGACGCCGAAAAGTGTGTCTATGTTCTAGAATCTGTCGAAGAGTAAAGATATGATCTATGCACCCTCTACCTGGTCTAAAGCCTGCTTGAATGATTGAATGAATATATTAGTAGCGCATATAGTGTTAGTCGAATAAATCAGCATAGGACCTTTCACACGAAATGCAAAGTATGTGGTCATGTCTGTCTTCGGCATAGAACTTTGCACCGATGTGCAGCCGTTCAATTCGCTACACTCCATGTAGCACGCGAAGCAAGAAAAGAAAGTACAAGGAAAGCATAATACAGACAGTAAGCAGAGGTGTGAGACAAAGGAGGAGTAATAACGAAGGACAAAACAGTTTCATTGGAGATCATAAGTCACAAGGAGTGGATGCATCTGCGCCACTGACAACGGTTTTGAGCCATGTCACCAATTGTTTCCAACCATAGATTTTTTCCGTCCCGAGGACCCCAGCCTGGAAGTCTACACCTTCCTACGTGGCTGGCTTAGACCAACTGTTGTGGATTTCATTGACTGGTGCCAAGTTTTTGTTTGACCGCCGCTAGCTTTTTTCCAGCCTGACCCTATATCCGCTAATATAGCTCGTCGAGGGAGGCGATGGCTTGGCATACGTAACACATGTCCTAACCATCTCAGTCTTTGTAACTTCACGACTTCGTCGATTGATTTCCCCTGTTTACCTAGAACTCTACGCCTAACCTCGATGTTGCTCACCTTATTATGCCACTTTACACGGGATATAGAGCGCAGGCACCTATGATCAAAGACAGCTAGTCTTTTCATGTCTTCCACTCTCAGTGGCCAGGTCTCACAGCTGGCCATAAAGGAGGACGGAGCGGACTGATGAGCAGTACACCCGCCCTTTGGTCGATAGTCGAACATCTCGTCTACGCCAGAGTCGGCGTAAACTGGCAAATGCGAAACGAGCCCCCTGTATTCGTGCTGAGATTTCGTCAGAGATCAACCCGTTGGCACTGGCTGATGGTACTTCCCAAATAAGTGAAGCGGTCAACGCGCTCAACAAGAAGATCAAATCAGAAGACGTTGTTTGTCTGCTAACAAAAACGTACATTATTATACGTTTTTTGTTAGCAGACAAACAACGTCTTCTGATTTGTTCTTCTTGTTGAAGGTTATTCTGTACTGCTTGTGACCCTTGCTTTCAAAGTTATCTATATATATCTGCGAATCGTATTTGCACACACTAAGTCTCCTGTGATTAGCTGTTGAACTCCTCAAGGCTAGGCCGTGCTATTGTTTTTCTCATGACCCTGGTGACTTCATTCGCTTGTCTTGCTGTCTGCAATTCCGACGGTCGCTGACGCTCATCTGTTTCTCTCTGTTTACATTTGCGATCGTATGGACGTTACCCCATCTCACAGTTTCCATGTGTGGTCCTCCCCACCTTGGAAGCTGTTTGCCTGATCCTGGCATTCTTTGGTATTTCACCTCACACTTTCATATGCTACCTTCGCCCGACCTCCCAGAAGCGTTCCAAGCCTCATCGCTGACGGATTCTGAACGCTACTCAACTGCGCAACAGACTCGAAGTCCTGCCCAAAGAGGGTAATTTGTTTTTTCTTTGCGCTACAGAGTTCCTTCCTTTTTTTAGCATACCATTATGCAAATACACTTTGTATTTATTGCTCTTTCTATCATTTTTAATGTATATTCAGTTTTTAGGTAATAGTCAACCAAATGGTTGATGTTTGTTAAACCTGCTTACTTATTGTTCTTCCCTATTTTCATGTTGTTGTTGTTGCTGTCAGGGATTCGCATTCATATCGTATGAAACAGCAGAACAAGCGAAAAATGCAATTTATGGTGTTAATGGTCTTCGGCATAACCATGTCGTACTCAAAGTTGATTGGGCTAAGTGAGTTTTTTTTCTTTTTTGCATTTCATATCGATTTCAATCTTTTCCCCTTTCACAAGTAATATTAATATAATGCAAAAGAAACTCACCGTCTAGGAATTTATGACGACTGGTGGAAGTAGACTGAATAAGTTACACTTTTATTATGCATATCATTTTCGTCTCTAATGTGTAGATTTTGTGGCCTATTGGTACTAGTACAAAAAAAGACCTAAATGATGAAATGAAACAGATAGAAGAAGGTGTTGGTGTCAAATAACTATCCTATGAAATTCATTACGAATATCACAAAAGGTCAAGAGCTAAGTAAAAATAATGGTGAAACTAATAATGATAACATAAATAAGAAAGAATATAAGTCATCTACTGTTATACCATATAAGGACGAGACATCTGAGGCCCTGCATAGGATTCTCAATAAAGCAGGAATCAGGGTGACATTCAAACCTACAAACTCACTCACATAGGAAAAGCTCTGTAGGCTAATAATATAATTTACAAAATACCTTGCAATGACTGTGAGGTCAACTATATAGGTCGGACTAGTAGGTCGGGGGTAGTGAGATTGTCGGAAGAGTTTAGCTAAGGTAAGAATGGTTGACCCCACCCGAGAAGATAAGTAATTTAGAAAACAGCTTAGCGATTGCAATGAGTGCATTGACACACAACCACACTATAGGGTGAGAGAGGGTTACAATTCTAAAAAGTAATCTAGGTAGGTGCAGAGAGAGGTTGATTACGGAATCCTTGTTCATCGAGTCCACACCCAACACATGCAACAGAAATGACTCAATGCAAATACAAGAGATATGGAAGATATTATTACCAACAGTCAGTCAAACCAGAGGAGGATAATAAATAATCTTAAAATTCTATTTCAATTCACGTAAATCACAACATTCTAACAAGTTACTTATTATGACTATAAAAACACTCGTCTTATTCCCCACCTAACTGTAATTGATCAATAACACTCATATTATTATTTTTGAATGTACATTATCCCATATTGAATTTTATTCCAATATCTAATCGATTCCACACATGTATATAAATGAAAGAAAAAAGTTGTGAGTAGTGACTTGATATGATTATCAGTGGCAATAGTTTGTGTTCGAAACGTGGTCATCAGTTAATATTACTGTATAACACTGTGTGACTTTATCAAAATAAAATCCTATCCATAATGGAGTTATACTCTACCACAGTGCCCAAGTTTTATACTTATATCAATAATACCAACCTTATTTTGTCTATATATATATATATATATATATATATATATATATATATATATATATATATATATATATATATATATATATATATATATATATATATATTAGGAACTTTAAAACTATTTATTTGAAGGTAACTTTGTCGACTTAAAATACACAGAAACAAGATTTTGAGTTGAACTCAGAAAAAATGATTTTTCCTGGAACAAACAAACAAACAATGTTTATAACCAGTTGTGATTTTAGATTGCAATGAAGCAAGTGACAGGGAGAGAACAATTCAAATAACGAAATAAATCAACAACTTTATTAGAAAAACCAAGACGATACGATGATAGTAGAGAGTATGTTGCGAGTGAAAGTTTAGTCTAACCACCGGTTTTTTCTGTGCATCAAGATTTTATTCTTTCATTTTAGAGACAGATTTCACCATACCCAAGCAATTTCTGGTTATACTGCTTGAAATAATAGAGAAGATTTGTAACTCAGATGGATGATTTGGGATTACTTTTGTTCTCTGAGGTGGTTGGTTTAATTGAAGAAGAACTTTCAAATTCCACGTTGAGAAATAATGATCAGAACAGATGTAAATCGACTAACAGTTACGAATATGATTGCTAGGAGACACGATTCTATCACTCATGAAGAATCTAAATCAGTTCATTTTATGCTAAAACTTGCGCTGAATATGTTGTCTAGGTGGGTGGACGACGAAAGCTTCGCAGTTAAATCAACCAACCCAGAGAACACGGCTTATTCCAAGTTATTCTGCTTATTAATGACTACAAAACTTAATTTAGTTAACGGTCATATTATGATCACTGTCCGGTTTGCTATGTGTGATCAAGCCTATTAGGTTAGTTGATAGCTGCTCTGGATAGTCGTTACCAAGACAACACTTAACATATGTGAATCAGTATAAAAATTTCGATTTGGTAAAAATTGTTCCCCCACCCCTTTCTCCGTTTTTGTGCCAGTCTTGTGGTTGTGTTTATAGGTGCGATCTCGGCTGTACAGACTAGTTGTACCCTCGTCATATGAACAACTATTTGTCAGTCGAGTGGTTTTATCTTTCCTAGGTGGCAACTCATAATAAACTTTCATCTCGAAAAATGTCAAAAAATGAGAAAGCTGCTGGCTAGACTCTTTTTGTACTACACTGAAACGAAAGTATTCAAGTTGCTGCTACTTGTCTTAAATTCATACTTCCAGACAGAGCTTCCAATCAAAATAGTATCGATTTTTCTGGAGGTATCGACTTCAGGAATAAATGATCATCGCGAGATCCTAGTCGACAAAATAGGTCAATGGTTATTAGGTTATAGGTTGACTTCATTCAACAACTATATGACAATGCCACGTGTCAGGTGATCCACAACGGAGAACTCAGTGAGGCGTTCGAAGTGAATACAGTAGTAAGACAAGGCTGCTTATTATCACTACGGATGATATTCTTAATTGCGGCAGACTGGAATAATGCGTCAGACTACGGGGAGTGAGAAGACAGAATTACCCTGGACCGTTAGGAAGACTCCAGCAGATCTAGATTCCTTGGTGGGGATGATTTATGTTTAATGTCACGCAAACTCGAAGACTTGCAGGCAAGCGAAAACTAACAAACTACCTGTTATAACTGCACTGAAGTGAAATGAAAATCGTAGTCACTTTGTTATGTCTGCGCCTGGCTAATATGCCCATTTGCCTGTGGTATCTTCCGATTCACTGAACCACACAAATATCAAAAGACAAAGACTGGCCTGCCTCCAAAGCCTCAGGATGGTCGGGGGTGGGTGCCTTGCGCTGCGAGTTGGCCACCCCTCCGCACACCTCTTGAAATGCTCCCATATGACCGGGCGTCTTACATAGCCTCTCCTGAGGAAGTCCTACTCACTGCCTTCACGTGGCGGAGGTGTTTCTCACCAAAGTGAGAGGGCGAAAGCGGATGCCCGGCGCTCTCCACCGGGTTTACTGTCCATTGGATGACAGTCTAGGGTAGATGGCTAAACCCTGATTCCAAACCTCCAACGACTGGCGTATGAAGCTCACTGGAGCTCACCGGCAGACGTATGGACAAAGGGCTTGTTGGATGTCCTGGATGTCTGGCCCCATTCAAAAAGGCGTATGAACCGAACTCCGGTCACCGGCTGCCAATGGATAGTGGACTCCCTACTCCACTCCTACTGCCTTGTAGGTCACACTTGGCTGTGTAAAGGCTAGAGCTGCACTCTCAAACAAAAGGCCGAGCGATGCTGGGGACATCACTCGTACCAAATTCCCATGAAACTTCATGAACTCTCTTACAAATTGCCGCGCCTGGGCAGCGATGATTCGAGACGTTCATGAAGCCGGCTCATCCTCCCGTAGGAGATAGCCGAAGTAAAGTAAAGTAAGTAAGACTGTATACTGTAATCCCAACAACAACCATTAGGAAAACAACACATGGTATTTATATATTTTTACAACAATAAAGACAACTAACGGCGTTTGAAATAATTGATCGCATAATCAATCACAATATGCGCGAGAAATGACGATATACTATTTTATGCGGGATCCTATCACTCGATAAAGAGGCTGACAGCGAACACAGAACTCCAGGTGAATAAAGACAAGACGGAGGTGATAAAGATAACCAACCACCACCGATCACTACTAACGACAGAAATGTGAAAGGAGTTACTTCCTTCACATGCGGAACGGATGCAGCTGTCAAAGTCAGAATCGGAAAGATACGCACGCCTTCATCAACCTGAAACCAGTTTGGAAATCTGCACTCAGCGTCACAAAGAACAAGACTTGGATTCTGTTCAACACAAATGTGAAGTCAGTCAGTCGGTTCTTCTATACGGGTCAGAAACATGATGCGTCGTCACGAGAAGAAGCATTCCCAACAGACTACAGCAGACTTTTATCAACAGCTGCCATCTTCGCTCCATATTCAGGATCAGGTGACGAGAAAGAATTAGTAGCAAGGCACTCTGAGAACGAATCGGTGAAGAACCTATCGTTTAACAAATATGTCAATGGAGATGGATAGGGGACACACTAAGGAGACCGGTGAATTACACCGTGCTCCAGGTCCTCGAGTGCAAACCAAATGTGAAATAACGTGTTATGCGTGACTCCGAGGGTGAGGAGATTATAGTCAATCGTGGGCTTAGCTAGAGAAGAGAGCAGAAAATAAACCAAAGTGGAGTTGTGTCACTGAATCCCTATGTTTCCTTTGAAGCCTAAGGGGACAGTAGTAATATAATAATAAGTTATAGGTTGTAATCTGTCCCGTTTGTTGAGTTTTTTTTAATAATCTGAAGGATAATGACTAGCTAGTGACTGAGTGCATAACAATAAATTCCTTCAGCACTCAAAAACTTTATATGTTGGATACGTGTACAAAGTGCTGTCTGTCGAGATAATTAATCTGGTATTTCGTTAACTTTTTGGGAACCTCCTGCGTTTCGCAACACTAATGTCTTGGTAAATTTTGACCCATGTTTTGATCTCTATCGAAAGGAGGCCATGTATTCAGATGCTGCAAGTTTCTACTTCTTTTACTAGTTTTTTTCTTCTATTTGGGGATTTTGTGTGTGTGTCGAACAGTAACTGCTAGTCGTCATGATTAATACAATAACAGTTAATCGCATATATTATATTTCCTCTTTTTCAGGCCTTCGAATAACTAGTTGTGTCGTTTCTTAGCAGATCAGCCTGTCTGATCATACAAGCCAGTGACTTGTTTCTCCAGTTACTTCTGTGGTGGAAATGTTTTGCTTTTATTATTTTTTGTTCACAATAGATTTATCAAATAAATAATTTGTCTTCTTATTTATACAGCAGAATTTATCTGTCATAGTAATCTAGTAATAATAGTAGTAGTGTGTATCACAAACTATTCTGTCAACAGAATATGACATTTTTGGGTTAGCCTTCTTCGTTGGATTACTTACTGACACATTTGCAAAAGTAACGCGAACACTGAATAATAAGCATAGAACTTTGCACCGATGTGCATCAGTTCAAATCGCCACACTCCATGTAACACACAAAGCAAGGGAAGAAAGTAGAAGAAATGCATAATAGAGACAGTAAACACACGTGTGAGACTGTGAGGAATAGTAATAACGAAGACCAACAGAGTTTCATTTGAAATCATAAGTCACAAGGAGTGGATGCATTTGCGCCACTGAGAACGACTTTGAGCCATATCACTGATTGTCTCTAGCCATTGGTTTTTACCGTCCTGAGGACCTCAACCAGTCAGGAAGTCTACACCTTCCTACGTGGCTGGCTTAACCTAACTGTTGTGGATTTGATTGACTGATGAAGCCATGTTTTGGTTTGACTGCCGCTAGCTCTTTTCCAGCCGGACCCTATGTCAGCCAGGTAACATTGCCCGTCGAAGAAGGCGATGATTAGGCATACATAATACATATCCTAACCATCTCAGTCGATGTAGCTTCACAGCCTCATCGATTGATCTCCCCTCCTTACCTAAAACTCGACGCCTAACCTCAATATTGCTCAAGAGTACAGCAGTTCAAGTTACCACACTTCATATTAAACGCATAGATAAAACTAACGAAGGAAAATGACCTAGTGATTCAAAGAATGGAAAGTCGCAGGAATTGAAGTCAATGGTGACTATTGATAAGTATCAGCGAAAACGGTAAATTCATCTGCAAAGTTAGTTAGATCCTAGAGGGAACAGCCAGGAGTAACGAAGTTGTTTGAAATAAACACATGTTTATACTTTGAAAAGCGTTTGGAACGACATTTGACTGTAGTACAATCAATAAACGTGAGACATTTTTTGAAATCGACCACTGGAAATGAATAAAAGTTGCGACCCCACCTCCACAGAATTCTTTTTGGAACAAAACTGATCTTGTCTGAATAATTTGAAACCATTTAGTTCACCTGATTCTGTGGAGCCAACTAGCTACCTCAGTCGTTCGATGCAAATTCTGTCCAACAGGATTCAAGAACACTATCCAGCATGGTTGCGAAAAAGCAATAGTGGTGCTATAAGAAGTGTGATAATTTAACACCTGATTAACACTGATCTCAACAAACGTCTCCTGCTTCAAATTAATCTACAGAGTCAAGAATAAATAACCTACCAAAGGCAATACACTTTCGTCTTCTTTGTATCATTGAAGCTGTGGCCATTCACGTGGAAAAACCGAAGGTGTGCATACAAAAGAGAATTACTCAACTACTTCTATTATCATGGCAACAACTTTGTTGATTTTTGATGACTTAATTTTGTTTGTTTGCCTGTTCCTTTCAGTGCTCATAATTCTTGTATTCGCTTAGAACTCTTACATAGGTGATAAGAATAACAAAGTTAGTATATGCATATATGTAGACAATTCAATAAATAAATAAATTAGGTCAAATCAAATGGAACGATAATCAGAGTTTAAATAAATATCATAAAAGTACGAAGGAGAGGGATGATAAGAAAGGGTGGGAGGGTTTTGAATAGAATTCACCTAGGCCAAGGGAGAGACAAAGGTAGAACAAATTTCTTTTGTATACAAAGACTAGGATTGTTCTCTCGAATTCCCATAGCTTCGGCTAAGTGTAAAAGACGGGTTCTGATTCCGTTCGAAAGACTTGATGGAATGCGGTAAATAACTTTGAAAGCACTATTTTTGTCCACTTGGTGACCACTATCAATCAAATGAGCCAAAATAGAACTTCGTATGGACTTTATTTGACCTTTTCCGAACCATGAAGGAAGATGCTCATTAATGCGTTTGTTAAGCTGTCTAGTTGTTCGGCCTATATAGCTTTCTCCACAGGAGCAACTAAATTTATAGATACACATGGAAGTGGCACAACTAGGTAACTTATCTTTCACTTGAGCAATCAAAATTGGCCGGCTGGAAAATGACAAACAGAGGGTGGCGGCAGTATAAGTCCGTTTTATCGCTCTCGATAATCTCTGATGTAAGACTTCACTAGCCACGTCCCCATTAAATTGCAGTTTGATGAACAGTTGTTTCTTTTTAACTGTTATCGGTTTCTCTTTATTGTACTTAGCATTCATGTGTCTCCTGACAAATCTACTAGGATAACCCATTTGGACTAACGTATTTTGGATGTATCCTAGCTCATTCTCTAGAGAGTCATCTGTACAGATGCGTCTTGCTCTATTCGTCAGGCATCTGACCAAATTGATTTTGTAACGGATTGGTACATAACTGAGGAAATGTGTATATTGTCCTACAGATGTAGGTTTTCTATAGACATCTCTCTTTAGTGAACCATCCTCTCTTCTGCTCAATTGGACGTCAAGAAAATGTAGTCCACCATCATATTCTTCTTCACAAGTGAAGATAAGCGATGGATGTGCATCGTTAAACTTTTTTAACATTTCATTCTTGTCAGCTTTCACATCAAGAATAATAAAGGTATCATCAACATAACGAAAATAAGAATCAGCTTTTTCTATTACTTTTTTCAATGGACCATTTTCAATCTTGGCAAGAAAGAAATCTGCTAAAATTGGCCCCAACGGAGAACCCATGGCAATACCGTCGATTTGCCTGTAGTAAAGGTTGTTAAATATGAAATGTACATTCATAGTACATCTTAAAAGCAACTCTTTCAGACTACTAACCGGTATTCCGATGTCGATCTGTTTTTCTAGTATCTGTTGGCATATGAATTCCACAGTCTCCATAAGTGGTACATTGGTAAACAGTGATGCTACATCGAGGGAAAGCATTTGCTTTCCATTTACATTAATATCATCCACGTTAGCAATAAATTCAAAAACATCTTTAACACTATGATTTACTACCATCTTGTGTAATGGTTGGAGGAGTTCACCTAGCCACTTTGCCACTCCATGGTAGGTAGAGTTTGACATATCCAGGACTGGACGAAGAGGAAGTCCTGGTTTATGTATTTTGGGCAGACCGTCTACATATATGCATATACTAACTTTGTTATTCTTATCACCTATATAAGCCTTATTAACAATATTTTGTTATCATTATAATCATCGCTATTAACTTCGTTCAAAACATTTACCACATTATTATTACTATTATTATTATGATTATTATTATTATGATTACTATTATTATTTGATCCACTAAATCACCGTCATTGGTTAAAATTATATATATATAAGTCTATGTAAATTAGAGTAAAGCCTGAAGAAGATCTAATTGAAAACAATATTGTTCGCTTATATGTCTTGTTCTAATATTATAAATGGGAATATTTACAGAACTCTTACGTAATTTCGTATTCTCTACTTTGTTCTTATGTGTATCCTGAGTACAAATCAATCACACCGTTTTTACAACTGTTTGTGACAACTCATCACCTTTGATACTACACCAGTTTCATTAACACCCAATTTTCTTGACGGATTCTGTATTACGTAACTCCACCCATAACTTACTAATTTTCACCTGTTTAGTTAAAATAACCATAATCAATTGTATTTTTGTTTGACAAACTTAATGTACAAAATAACTCATATATATTTGTGATTGTACGTACAGCTAAGAAAATGAATTCACCGAAAAGAGACTTCGCTGAACTATGTGTTTTGTTTTTCATTATTGCCTGGATGGGGAGTATTCATGAGTACCAGATTTTCAACCTAATGCTCGTGAAGCCAAGTTTCTTGTGGCCTGATCATAGTCATATCGTGATAATTATCAGAGGATAAGAGAGATTGTAGTGACATAATCTTGTTGGGAAGAGAATGGAAGTTTGTACTAATGATAACAGGAATAACAGTACAATGTATAGGCGTGTATTTCAGTGCTCACTGCCATCCACTGTGATGCTCTTTTCTTAGCTTTGTTAGAAACCTGAAAGTCACTTGGTTCTGAGAATTTTAAAACTTTGCGAAAGTAAATAATACAATCTGACGTCATACTTTGATACATAAATACAAATAAAGCACGATAAATTAAGTGCAATATGTAGATGAAAATCTAGGATAGACCAATGTTCAAAAAGTGTAGAAATTTTCTGTTACAAATGTAGTAGCATCTGACTGATCTTATGAACTCTCTGTTAAGAGTAAATATGATCTTACAGCTTTGGAAAATGAATCATTGAATAGAAAGATTTCTACTCTGCTCACATCTGTGGAGTCCTCAAAAATTATTATTATTATTTCCTTTAATTCCTAGAGGAGCATAGGGCTTCAGCCACACGTCTCTATTGCCTTCGGTTTTCTGCCTACTTTCTTACTCCGCTCCAAGTCTGTCCACATGCTTTCATCTCCTCTTCACATGACCTCCTCCAAGTCACCCTTGGACGACCAACTCGCCGCTTCCCTTTCGGGTTCCACGTCCTCAAAAATAAACCTATCCAACTTTTACTACTATGTGAGAAATTAACATATTGCATATTACTTTGTTTTAACCAGAATCTCTGTACTTTGTTTTTAACCGCGTGGTTTGAAAGAAAATATAGTTCTGTCTACATCTCTCCGTCTTCTCCACAATCTCAACTGCCATCGACCAAACCTATCTAATTACCTACCTTCTATTCCAAAATATCGCAGAAACGCCGTATTTTCTCCCTACATTGCCTTGGCCGACCTCTGGCAAAAAATAATATTGGAGAACTAAGATGGGGAGCATCCCTTGCACAATACTTCTGGAGTCTACTAAGTTAATTGTGGATTTGGACTTTTCACTTTACGGATTTGTTATTCCCTATTTCTATTCGAATTTGGGATGTTAAGCTAGCAGAGTCTAAGGTCCGCCACACATCTTCTTCCCATTGACTTTTATTGCATACACAGATATATGTTCATAAATTCGAAATTTTCCCCCTAGAGATTATC